GAAGGTGGTGTGATCCAGCATATTTCCAACTCATGGGTTAGGTGCTCTCCCCTCTCAGATTTTCACCCTCTTTTTGGGGGGCGGGGGGGGGGGAGGGAAGGTGCATTTTATACTCCAAAAAATACAAAAATATATACATAATTTTTGAGATTACAATGGATTTTTATTGCATGCACTATCCTCTCATTTGTAGGAATAATATACAGTGCATGACAGAACTGTAACCCTGGCAAGTCAACAGAAAATAGTAGATGAAACCAACACAAGTTAATATGAGAAAAGGACAAAATACACTATTTCAGTGGTGTGTGTATACAGTATGTCAAAGCAAGGCAGACATTAGCATGTATATGTATGCTGCTTCCTTGAGTAAAACCTGATCCAAATGTGATCCATCACTTTGCTAATATGTAGTAATTAATGAGTTCTGAACAAATGGTTAATGTTTACTTTAAATTAAAGTAATAGACACAGTCCAAACCAACATAGAATGAAACGTGAAAATCAATAGTCAAAAAGCACATTTTACTGATTGACTCATAATACTAGAGATTTTTTTAAAAATTGCTCTGTAATGAATAAATTGGAATAGGCTGCAGCAATAAACTGTGTGCTAAGCCCAAAATAAACAAATTTCATTATAGATTTAATATGATATGTGAATCCAACTTCTATGTTGAATTCTACCTATGAGAAGTTGAACATTTCCAGCTTAGAACACACCTTCAGCATATTCTCCTACTTTCAACACGTTTCAGTACTTTCTTTTTTAATATTTCCTTTCTTCAAAACTATCCTTCAATTTTCCTCTCCTTTTCCCCTCATGCCATCCAGTCATGATATTGGCATTGGCTACTGATGCTCAGGTATGACCTTCACTCTCTTAAAAAGAATGAATGAATGAAGAACAATTGTTGGATCCTGGTTTAAAAGCTCATTTTGGACCAGTCATTCTCTTTCAGTCTCAGAGATTTTTGGGGTGGATGGATAAAATTGCTTTCTCATTGTTTAGCATTAAAGCCAACTTTCTGCAAAGTTGAATGAATACTCATTCGTTAGATGCAGCTGTTTACAAATTCAGAAAAAGAAACTACTGTAATGAATGTGGTATAAAAGTTTGAATAGTTTTCTAGTTGAATCACTGTTACTTTTTTTAAATGTACAGTTATCAATAAGAGCCACAGAGATATGATTCCTTAAAGGTGCAGGTGGAAACAATTCCACAAGTGAACAAATACCCTGATTATTCTAATAAAGTCAAGTTGTGACCTTCATTCACAGAGGTGGTGTTCAGCAGGTTCTGATCAGTTCTGGAGAACGGATAACCGAAATTTTGAGTAGTTTGGAAAACTGGTAAATTACCACCTCTTACTGGCCCTGCCCCCATCTATTCTCTGCCTCCCGAGTCCCAGCTGATGAGGAGGAAATTGAGATTTTGCAGTAATCTTCCCCTGCCATGCCCACAGAACCAGTAGTAAAAAAATTGAATCACACCACTGTTCAACCACCTTAGGCTCCCCTAAGTAGCCATCTGAATATGTATTTGAAAATNAAAATGAAGAAGCTTTTTAAAATAAATGCTTGATCTGAAGAGGCTCAGTGCTATTCTTTTAAATAGCAGAGAACACCTATACTCCCAGAAAGCACATCAATTTTAACAGCATCTGTAGAAGTAAAATCTGAAATATAACACTACAAACAGTGTATATTGTCTGTACTGTTTGCTGTTTGTTGCAAGGAGGCAAATTGCTGGGAGGCAGAGGCAGATTTTTCCCCTTGTTTTCCTCCCCAAAAAGCTAGGTGCATCTTATACTCAGGAGAGTCTTATATTCCGAAAAATACAGTACCTGTAAATTGCCTTGGTGGATAAAATGATGTAGGCATCATTATTTTTATATAAAAAAACTGGTTTTGTGGAAAGGAGAAAGCATTTACTTTTTCTTCTTTACGTTAAGCAGCTGGTGTTAAAAATCAATGCCATTTATGAGGCTCGAAGAGGGAAGAAGCGAGTCAAGAGACTGTCACAATCTACAGAGTCCAGCTCAGGGAGAGGTAAGGAAAGATTGTCACTGGACCACTGGTTTTGTGGGCATCTTGACCTGGCTTTTGTGCCTACTCAGTATTGTCCAATATTAAAGGGATTTCTTTAATAATATAAAGGACATAATGCTACTGCCCCAGTTTTCTATGTTGAGCCGTGGTGGTTTAGTGGTTAGAATGCGGTACTGCAGGCTACTTCTGCTGGCTGCCAGGAGTTTGGCAGATCGAATCTTGCCAGGCTCAAGGTTGACTACCATCTGGTCTGCCACGCCCCAAACCAGTTCTGTTGGTGGCGCCATCTTGCTTTTTGCTTCTGCACATGCGCAGAAGTATTTTTTAAAGTACTGTGCATTCACACGTAGTGTGCATCAAGTATGCGCGCGACCCTGAGCAAACCACCAGCAGCCGGAACCTGCCTCTGTGGTCGGTAAAATGAGGACCCAGATTTTGGGGGGAAATGTGTTGACTCTGCAAACCACTTAGAAAGGGCTGCAAAGCACTATGAAGTGGTATATAAGTCTAAGTGCTATAGCTATTTAGTACTACTTGCCCTATATCCTAGCATTGTTACAGGGTACATTTGAGTTGTCAGACTTAACTGTTCTACTTGGTCTTTTCTACTTTGGTCTAGGACTTGGCCATCATTTGTTCCCCGAAGCAAGCTGTAAAAAGCATTGCTTTTTGGCTGCTCCTTGAGCATCTTTCAATTGGAAAGATTGCTCATTGTCCTTTCGTACAAGATTCCTCCCTCCATTTTCTTCCAATCTTTTTTCATTTTCCCAACCTAATTTTGGTGATGTTTGGGGTTGTTCCCAGTAAACAAAAATCTGAATGATTTACTGCAGTTTTCTAGAAATTCCTTAGTGGTTCCTGGCTTATCTTCTAGCTAGCCTATATTTTGGGGGGTATAAGAGATCTTGGGAGAACTGATTCCGTGATCCATTCTAGGTTTTGCTTGCTATTCAGAAAACAATTTTTTTTTGAAAAGTGATGTTTACTGTGCTTTTCTATTTCCTCCTAGTTACAGATGAAAATAGTGAATCAGACAGTGACACAGAAGAGAAACAAAGAGGTATTAATTGGGAGATGAACTTTAGAGAAGGTTATTGATTCTTGGATGGAAAATTGTGGGTTTTCCCCTTCCAGTTTTTTTTCCCTGCCCAAAATAACAGGATATGTTTTATGCCTGTAGAGCCTTCAATTATTGCAAAAGTGAACTATTGATTATTTGTCTGTTATGATGGCTACATGAACATTCATATCCCTAAAAAAAGTTCATTAGTCAACATTCAGCCCAATATTTTTGTCAAAAAAGGGCATGCATAGCCCCTAGGATGCTTATAGAGTGCTCCTGTGGGCTGGAAGGGCAAAATCAAGCAAAATAACGGCTCGTTTTTCATTCATTTTTGCCCTCTCCAGCCACCAGGAGCACTCTGGAAACCTTCTAAAGGCTATGCACAGCCATTTTTGCAAAGGGGACGGGGTTTCAGGTGGCCAAAAATGCTGTATTCAGTTTATAAAACGTACTCAGATTTTCACCCTCTTTTTTGAGGGAAAAAGGTGCGTCTTATACTCTAAAAAATACGGTATTTTCCAGACTATGCTGTTTCTACCAAGGGTGGAGTGATCCAGCATATTTGCAACTCCTGGGCTATGTGCTCTCCCCTCTCATTTTCTGCGAAAAAAAATTGTCATATTCACCAACTAACAACACTATATTTTTTATCTTGATTCTCTCTGTATAATGTTTCAGAATGTTTTGATATCCTGGTTACAACACAACATAATTCCAGAATATTTAAGTTGACCTTTCTGTACTCTGGTGCCCTTCAGTTGGGTGGATTTCAGTGCTTACGATTATCATCTTACAAGGTCCTTCCTTGGGAATTCTTCATATTGACATTCACACATCTGGAGGATGACCAGGTTAAGAAAGGCTGGCTGAGTTCATGGTGAATATGTAGTTTGAAGTAAGACAGAACTTCTAATTGCTGTGGGAACCTCACCCAAAACGGTTGTGTTGATTTTGTTGGCTTACCTTTTTGTGTAGCTCACAGTCAACGCCTTGTTCATGTAAAATCTCGCCTGAAGCAAGCCCCCAAGTATCACACCTTGGAGAGAGATCTCATCGAGTACCAAGAGAGGCAGCTCTTTGAATATTTTGTTGTAGTATCATTACACAAGAAACAAGCTTGTGCACCATACGTCCCTGAAGTTACCCAGCAGTTTCCATTAAAGGTAGGACAGGATGATGGAGATAGCCTGTTCGGAGAAAAGCAAAGAAAGGATTCCTCTGCTCTGTTGGGTTAAGATTCTCGAAGTTGAAACTCCGCACATCTTGGGGATGCCAGATTAGGAAAGTGAGTTGCTCAGAGGTGGGCAGTCAAGGGTCCACAACATTTTTAGGGACAGGGATAGTCACAAAAGACAGAGCAGTAAAGCAAGTGAACTTTCCAATGCATCCCTATGTTTTAAGGTGAAGTTTGTTGCTGTCTACTTTCTTAAAACAATGCTGAGTCTATTTCTGGATTTCAATTACAGGTTTTGTATCCCTTTCCTGAGGCTGATGCAAATCTGTGCTGCTGATTTAAGCAGTTGTGTTCATAACAAACACTGGGAACTGTATGCAGCCTATGATTTTTACATGGCTCACTCCTTAACATATCTGAGGCAGTTTGCTTTGTCTGTTCATAACTCTTAACAGAATGAAATACTTAAAATATGGACATCAGCATTGGTGTAGTAAGTAGCTAAAAAACAAGGGAATTCTCAAGATTTGGCTGTAAATGGGAGCAGGAGTGGTATTCACTTACTTTCCCTACCAGTTTGCAAATGTGAGCACCTGCGCTCTGTCCATGCATGCACTTGGCCTTCTGTGCATGCGCTTTGATCACGTGCGCGACTTGCACACATGCACACGGTTTGAAAACGTGCCTAAATAGGATGGCATAGAGCCCGGGTGGGCGGGCCCACACATGATTTCCGCTACCGGTTCAGGTGAACCAGTCCAAACCAGTTGAATACCACTTCTGAATGAGAGGGAGGGAGGAGGGAAGCTGGTTTGGCTGAGTGATACACATACACATTTGTTAGACATAAACTAGGCAAACAGCTATGTTATTACCCTCCAGATGGACGTGTATTCTCTATCATCACTTCTCCATTTATTTAGGAAGCAAGGTAGATGGAGAGGGAAGGGGGGAAATCATGCAATTTTACTTCTACCTAAATAATTGAAAACATCTCCTCCTCCTTTTCTTCTACTAGCTTGAACGCTCCTTCAAATTCATGAGGGAGGCAGAGGACCAGCTGAAGGCCATTCCACAGTTTTGCTTCCCTGATGCAAAAGACTGGACTCCTGTTTCTCAGTTTAGCAGGCACGTTAAAGGATGGTTCCTTTCTTCCCTTCTTACCAGTTCCTAACCTGCCATTATGCATAATGTTAGCCAGGGGTGGCTTTCACCTACCTTCCCTACCGGTTTGCAAATGTGCGCGTGAGCATCCACGCATGCGCCTAGCCTTCCGCGCATGTGCTTTGCTCAAAAATAATCCGTAAATAGGACAAAATAGAGCTGGTGCGGGTGGGCAGGCCTATGGGCCCACCCGCGATTTCCACTACCGGATCGGGCAAACTGGTCCTAACTGGCAGAATACCACATCTGATGCTAGTTTTATTTATACCAGATTGGTTTTTTTATGATAACATCAAAATCAGTTTTGACTTCAGCGTGAACAACTGTAGAACAAGCACAAAACTAGTGATCGGAAATATTTAGGGAATCAGTGCATCAATATTCAGCCATCCGATCCATTCTTGCTTTGTCTTTGACCGAAGCAAAGTGTAACATGAAAGCTACAGAATTAGTCACAATATTAGCAGTAATTTTAAAGTAGTCCTTATATATAATCGGTACAAAGAACTACAATGTTAAATAGATGTAACTGCACACATCTATCTAAACATTGCCAAGAAAATTGCCTGGATTTGTCCATGTAGTTGTCAGCGGTCAAGATTGATTTGAAAGGATCCATGACCACCAGCAAAGAGATAATGGTCCAATGGTTAAAGAAAATGGGTGAAAAACCAGGAGACCATGAGTTCTAATCCTATCTTAGGCCTAGAAGCCAGCTGGGTGTCTTTGGGATAGTCAGTATGTTGCAGCCCTAAAAAAGAAGGCAAGAGTATACAAATATATTATAAAGTTCGTGTAAAATGTAATTATCCAAAATACTTTAAATGTATGACTTTTAAAAACTATACATCTGGCCATCCCAAATCTGGATGTATTAAGTGGCAATTCAGAGTGACAGCAGCACTGCAGAAATGGTACTTACCCCCAGTGTCCAAAGTAATAGCTGTTGCAGCAGCCCTGTGGCAGAGTGATCAAAATTTGGGTGCTTGGCATTGGTACAGATAAGGACAACTTAATCTGGTGTCATTCATGGCCTGGAAGTGAGATGGAAGCAAAAACAGCCAGCTAGATGAGTGAGATGGGGGGTATAAAAATTTAACAAATAAATAAATAACATAGGGGAATGACAGAAAAAGGATATTGTCAGGATAATTTTATGCTGCAACTAAGTGCTAGTGGGGAAAGGCAATTAGTAGGAATGCACAGAATTAGTATTCCTCTAATGGAAAGCCACCTTTCAAGTTACTGGGAAAAAAGGCAGAATGTATCGTATTTTTCAGAGTATAAGACACACCNGCAAAATTCACTTAACAAATTTTGCTTAGCAACAAAAGTTTTGGGCTCAATTATAGTTGTAAGCGAGGACTCTTGCATATGCTGGTGGTAGTTTATGAATGATACGGAACCTCATTCTGCTTACACCTGTTGTTTCCAAATTCTTAGGAAAAAGTTTTATTTTGTTTTATATTTATTGCCTTGGTTTTCAATTCCAGATTTACCAGCAAAAGAAAACCCCTATGAAGATATCGAGACAAATAGTCATTGCCTAGGGAAGAAATGTGGCCTGAACTTTCCAGCATCTCCTTCTTCTATTCCTGGCACACCCACAAAGGTAACCTGGCCTAATCTGAACAGCTACTGCCCGCAAGCTATACTGTCAGGGTTCCAGATGCCCTAATTAAACCATGAGCCTCAAGCCAAGCTTCAAAAGACATCCAGTTACTTATTAGGAGCAACATGTCTGCAGGTACCCAAGTGAAGCCAGCTCTGCCCCCACGTAATTTACAGCCCAATTATGACCCTGTTTTCCCTCTCCTCCCAGGGTGTCATAAATCACATTCTCCAATGGGAGCACTTTTGCGGTCTGTAGAGATTAGTCCCTCTGGCTGTTGCAGGTAATCGGGGGTACAGCCTTGAGAAAGGTATGGGTGAAATATGCTTCTGGTTGCGGCTGCCCTGCTGCTCTGTCAGTTTCCCCACCTCCTGCCTATGGCAACTCGAGAGCAGGATGCTTTACGAGTTGACATACATTTTGATTGTTGTTATGGAGATACAATGGTCAGAAAATTGATACCTACAGGGAAGAAAATGACAAATTCTTTGTTCAGCTTGGTTTCCCATCTTGGATTAATTTCCTAAGGGAGTTGATTCCTCCCCCTGCTAAGTGAATTTGGTGACTTTAAAGGAGTAAAACTAAGCTTTCTGAGTCATGATGGTTTTCTGGATTTAGAAATAGGGCACTCTAGACTTATTCTTACTGTGGATATTTATTGATAGTGCTTGCCAATTTGTAACCATAAAGAAATTCTGTAAGACCATATACCACATTTCTAGTGTTGGTTAGAAAGTAGAGGTTTGGAAACAACAGGAGACCTTGTTTTCTGTGAAATCATTCTTTCTGACTATGAGCTTATGAGGTTTGGCTTGGGAACTTATTGAATATGTGTGGGCAAAGTCAGGGGCCGCAACATAACCTTGCAGCATTCTGGAGCAGCAGTCACCAACTGGTTATCCATGGACCACCGCTGGTCTGTGAGAAAATGTTGGTGGTCTGCAGAAAAATTATTTCCATTTTTTATATTGCGCTAAATCAGGGGTCCTCAAACTGTGGCCCCTGGGCCGGATACATGCAATGAACGTTTGTGTTGCTGCAGAGAGTCTCCCCCTTCTGGGTCTTTTTGTGTGGGTTGGAGGGGGGGGCAGAAATTCTGAGATGGGGTCTGCTTCAGCCTCCTGGTGTGGCACTTTGGGCAAAGGCTGGAGGGAAGCACCGCTGGTGGCGAAGAGCCAGAGGGCCTTGTTCCAGTGGGACTGCATCTGGAACTGGCTGACCATCTTAGCCCGCTGAGCCTCCAAGAGCTGGCACCTGACCTTGCATTCCTGCAGGTTTTCCCTCTGCTTGGAAAGCCTAGGCTCATAGCCCTCAGTGAGGGGCTTCTGCTGAGCCTTTTTCTCAGTCAGATCCAATTTGAACTGAGCCAGCTGTTTTGCCAACTCTTTCACATGGTGACTGCTTAGCTCGAGCAACTTCTTCCTGTTGGGGGGGCCCTAACGAACCCAGGCAGGCAGGTAAGGAGTGGCGAGTAGAGGTTGGCAAGAAGCCCCTTGACATGAGTGACATCAAGTTGGCCACGCCCACCCAGTCACATGACCACCTTGCCACGCCCACCCAGCCAGTCATTAGGCAGATCATATTAGTGGTCCGTGGGATTTAAAACGATGAATTTAGTGGTTCCTGAGGTCCAAAAGGTTGGTGACTGTTCTGGAGGACTGTATGTAGTGTTCTGTTGACCTCATAAGAAGAGGTGAAATTCATTTCTCAATCCTTTTTAGGGAGATTAAGAATGAGAATAGGGAGATGGCTGGGCAACCAGCCCATTCTCAACTTTAATACTGCTTGCCCTCCATATAGTCTAAAATTCAGGTGACGAAGCAGTTCTTCAAAATATGATGGTTGAACAGCTGGATTTTAGTGGTGAGATTTTAGGTTATTGATGAGAAGGATTGAGAGCAGTCTTCTGTTTCCAGTTTAAAATCAATCTACTTTTGGAAATCCCAATTTTTGCTTCACATTTTGGGAGCTGTATCTTGGATTACTGGGATGTATGCATATGGCTTGTGTGGCCTGGAATTTCACACCTCCATTCTTTGAAGAGTTTCGGGGATTTTCAGTACTTGGTGGTAGGAAAAATACTGTCCAGTTCATTACCACCACAATCCATATTTGGGGTAGCGGAGGAGAGGTAAGAATGAGGTTAGAACAGAAGTTGAAATTTCCTATATAAAAATAAATAATGGCCATCAATAGAGCAAAAGACAGAGAATATTGATTAATATGGAAAGTACAAGGGGCTCCATTAATGATTGTGTGTGTTTAAACAGAAATGCAAATATTTAAGCAGGACTCTGCATATATATGTATTTGATAACCTATTTGGGATCTTTAGGTGTTCAAAGGTTAAGCTGCTGTACAGAGACAGAACACTCCTGTGTTACTACTGGCTACTAATCCCTAATTGTTCTCCTGATAATATAGGAATGAATCAGGAAAAATATTAGTCGTTTTGGATATATAGGGGAGTTTTGTGTAGGGAGGGATTTGTGGAGGGAGTTCATTTCAGCAACAGCACCCTGTACTTTTGATATTCACCCTGGAGATAAGATTCAGTGTAGCTGGCTGCTGATATTATCTTCCAAGTGATGGGGGATTATTTTTTGTTTTGTTTCCCATCTTAATACATGCCACTTCCTTTTTAACGCCATTAGCAGAATGAGAATGTGTTCTGAGAGGTTTTTGGTGCTCTCTGAGCTTGGTTGTTTTCTTGCAGATGTTTCATTACCCAAACTAGGTGACATCATCAGCGCTGATTATTTCCCTGAGCTAGAAATACTGTCCCTAGAATGTGGTCTGTTGGAAAGAGTGATGACGGTGATGAAATTACTGAAGGCATTAGCTGAGTACCTTTATTGGGGCAGCTCCATATCAAATTCTAGCAATTTAGGTGTAAGGCTGGATTAGACTCAATTCATTAGAAGAGTTAAGCACACACAAGAGATACACAAATGAAAAACCTGATGTCCAAATGAGTTTCAATCAAAATAGAGCAGGACGGGACCTTGGAGGTCTTCTAGTCCAGCCCCTGCACAAGCAGAAACCCTTTCAGACAAGTGGCTGTCCAATCTCTTCTTAAAAACCTCCAGTGATGAAGCACCCACAACTTTTGAAGGCAAAGCTGTTCCACTGGTTAATTGTCCTCACTGTTAGGAAGTTTCTCTTGAATTCCATGTTGTTTTCTCATTGATTTAGTTCCCATTCATTGTTTCTTGTCCTGCCCTCCGGTTTATTTGGTTTGAATAGAAGTTTATCTTTAAGCACTAAATTGCAATAGAAACTCTAGTGAGTACAAAAGTCATAGGCACCTAGTTTACTATAAGTGAAATTCAGTTTGAAGATGGAGTGAGGAGAAAAATTGAGAACTTGGCCAATGTTTCTGTTCTGAAAAGACTGGAACAAATTTTGCAGTTCTGGTATTACTAATCCTTGAGTTCATTTGTATGTATTTAGATGGGTGTTTGAAAAAAGGGAAAATAGAGACAATTCCTCACAATCTTCATTATATAGGTACTTCGACCAAATCATACTGTATTTTTTAAAAGCATCTAGAACTATAACTGGGTCATTACAAGGAGGGTTTTTTTTTTAATCTTACAAAGATAGGGAACATTTATTTATTATGCATTATGTAAAATAAATGCAAACAGGAATCAGCTAATTAGTAGTCTGATTTGTTGTATAGTTAGCACTTAATACGTTTTTGACTACTGCTCATTGAAGAGAGAAGAATTTCATTCAACAGTGTACATATTTTACCATATTGGTCTTTTGCGAATTAAAAAAGAAAGTTGTCGTGGCTGCAATCAATACCTGGAGTTTCTTTGTAACCCTGATTTTGCTTTATGCTCTCACAACTGCTTCATTTCAGCTTTTCCAGGAGCCAGAAATTGAAATTGGTTTTCTTTAAGGTTTGACCTACTGTGTCCTAAGAAGCTCATGAACAAGTGCCAGACCATTCTGTTATTTTACTGGATAAAATCAATAGCTAAATAATAGGGTCAGAGAACGCATGGTCCATAAATATGCAATTGTATGGTTGCTGAAACTTGCTTCTGAAGCCACTGGTGATGAGCATTGGCTGACAGGCTATTGGACCATATAAATTCTGGGTCTGATGTGGTACAGTAGCTCCTTATTTTTCCAATCCAAGTGTCTGTGGTTGCTTCGCTGGTTAGTTTTGTTGGCTCTGTTCCATCGAGCTCCTGAAAGCTTATTGTGCAAGCAGTAAGAGCTGTTTCTGTCACGCTAATGAGACTTCTCAGCAAACTTGTGGAAAATATATCATTTTTTTTCTATTGATCACCTAGATCAGGAATTGGCAACCTTAAACACTCAAAGAGCCAGAAAAGTTCTAACCAGAAGCTCCCCGTTCAATTCTGGAGCCGACCGGAAGTTGGGTTCCCCCATCATAGTCTCCTCCTAATGTGGTGTCCTTTTTCCTTTGCTGACCAGAAGTCAGTTCCCTCACCATAGAGTCTCCTCCTAGCGCGGCTTCCTTTTTTCCTCTACCTGTCTTAACCAAAAGCTCTATCAATTGACCAGCGACAGGGAGCCGCAGCAGAGGGATGAAAGAGCCACATGCGGCTCCAGAGCTGTGTGTTGCTGACATCTGAGTTAGATAATCCTGGGGGGGGGGGAGTGTTAAGTAAGTGTTAAAAGTTTTTTGGACACTAACAACCAGCCAAGAATTCTTGCAATTAATGTTTTAATGTTTCTTATTTTGATTTTTTTTTTAATTGTAGATAAATGCAGTGTCTGATACTCCTCATTTGCCCTCATTGTGGTCTGTCTCCTTAGGTCCCCTCTAAGCCCATCTTCTTTAGGCAGAACTCAGAACGCAGGAGTTTCAAACTACTAGACATACGGAAACCGAATCGGGATGGCACTTATTCTCCATCCAAAATCAGTCCCCCTTCCACTCCTAGCAGTCCTGATGATACTTTCTTCTCCTTGGGTGATTCTCAAAATGGCAAGAAAAGAAGGAAAATTTCCAAGGTATTTTTTTTTTCTTTAAAGATTTTATTTGCTGACTTAGAAAGGACTGTGAAAGATTAGAGGCAGTGTTCAGAAAGTGTTATTCTAAGTCTTGTCTATGGAATTAAGTATTAATTTCACATTTGTGGTCCTGAAAATTCTCTGAATCTTGAGAATGTTAACCCTTTTAAAATTAAGTATATACATTGCCCTCCAAAATTGAACTATATAGATTTTGTTGTTAGTTGCGTGTCCGTAAGTCGTGTCCATAAATGATTAAAATTAACAAAACAGTAGCATTAATCATCATCAGAAGGTTATATGGCCATGATGGTGAACCTATGGCANACATAACTGCAGAAATTGTTGTCAGGCGTGGAATATTCTTCCTCCACCAAGCCTTCCCTTTTCCCTCCTCAGCATACATTCTCTCATGGTGCTTAACTCAAGCCAGCTGTAAGTGGTTTCCTGGCCATATGATTCCTTTAGGCAGCACAATATATCTCCCTCCTCCTTCTCTTCCTCCCGTCTCCATCCATTCAAGACCTGGCTTACAAACCAAATGACGTTATGGCTCACTTTCAGTTACATGCGCAGCTTCTAGAAAAATTGGGGCCTACACTGATGAGTGGCTTGTCCTCTTGCCTATCTCGGAGGGTGGGGTTTGAAAACTCTTGGTTTTGATTATGAAAACAGCATTACCATATTCTTCTTTTACAAAAAGACAGTTTTCTGGCAGTTCTTTTCCTAAAATCTGAAAGACCCAAAGTCTCTCCTAATCTGGGGGCTTTATTTGAGCGTAAGCTCCATGTCACCCATATCCAAACTGCAGGTCATCCAAACATATCTAGAAAGGCTGCCACGATGCCATTAGTTCTCTGCCTGTCTATTTATTCATTTTTCAAAGTACAAGACAGCTTACAAGATTCTTTAAAAATCATGAAAATACCACTATCATCATCATCATTATTGAGGCTCCATTATTATTCAAATGCACACTGATGAATTTTGCCAAATAGAAACAGCAAAGTTCTTTTTATGCCAACTGTTCTCAACCAGATCTATTTAAAATGTATAGGACTTCAACCCCTGTTTCTATAACTTTGCTGTTCATTCCATGCTTTCCCTTATATTTCCCCTTTGATTAGAAGTATTTCAACTTGATCAACAGGAGGAATTTGTATTGGCACAATCTTGGTGTTTTAGAATCCCGGCAATTTGAGAAAATGATGGGTTGTGGTAGATCGCTGGAAGAGCTGCCTATCAGTGGCTGTTATTTTAGATGACTGGATTCTCCCTCCAGAATTAAAAGCTCTCNGATTTTACATTTGGGGTAGTGGACTTAGGATCTTGTGAAACGGCAACCAATTCTGTTGGTTGTTTATTTTAACCATAAGAGAGGGGTCCTATGCTCTTTGATGGAAAGGATAACATTGACTTTGGAAAAATGTTTTGAGCCAGTTTTGGTGCATGTGGTTTCTTCCATCTTTCTGCAGCTTTCCATGAAAGGAAGAGGCTTTGGCCAGTCTTGAGTGTACGTGTTGTGGAGCATTTTTGAACAAAACCCAAACCAGGTTTAATAAGCGCATTTATTCATAAATAAATTACTGGGTTGCCTTTTGATCCAAATAAGATCATTTTGTAGGCAACTTCACAATAGAAAACTTTAAAACAATGTGAAAACCTGGGATACCAACCAAAGCAAAACAATAGGAAAAAGTTCCCTTGAAGCAAAGAGAATACAGTTGAAGTTATTTAAAAGGCATGCGGAATAGGAAAAAATGTTTTAACAGCCCATCTACAACTGAACAAAGATGCCAATTTAAGCTACGTGCAGAAAGTGCATATCTTGTTATTTTTCTTTCCCTTCTCAAAATCCTTTCTGTTATTATGAACCTAGAGAGTGGAAAGGGGGGTGGGGGAAACTTATTTCTTCCTCCCTTCCCCCCACCTTCCCATAATAACTGTAGTAATTGCTCTTGTCAGCTAAAAAAAACCTTGGATGTGCATGTTTTCATTTTTCTATTACATTAATTTGAGCTGCTCAACTCTTGCACAAAGCTTATCATTGAGATAGGAAGAATCCAATAATTGGTAATTCAAAAGAACTCTGATAGCCAAAGTACCTTCCTATTTTCTTTTTAAATTTATTTTTCCCTGGAGTGAAAATTACTCCATTGTCATTTACAGCAGCCAGCAGCTCATTTACAGTTTCGTGGTTTCATTTAATGTTTTACTTAGGATCCAATTTTACCAACATGTCATTCCATATTTTAATTAATTATATAATTANCGCTGGTGTATAAGAAGCACCCAGATTTTCACCCTCTTTTTTGAGGAAAATTTGGTACAATTTGAAGGAAGTACTTCCTGCAAATATTGCACCGCTCTGCGATAGAGCTTCCTCCTCCTTTTTTTTACAAGCTTATTTGTGAACTCAAGAAAAAGATAGTGCTGCTTTAAAAGCCATGTTGAAAATGTGTAACCTTGATGATTCAGTTTGTGAAAACAGCAGCATTCTCTAGCTAAAAAAAGTTACATTGCTTAAATGAGTAATTATATGCAAGTAACGTATACACAATGGTAGTTAGAGTAATTGCACAGATTTTCTTGAGTAATAGATGTAACATTTGGCACAATCACAGAAAGTAACAGTCATGGAATCATTATTTCTGTGATTCCAAGGAAACATGTACACTTGAGGTCTGAACGATTTTATTTATTTATTTAAGGAGCATATTAAAGTTCAATCCTAATTCATGTAGTTCAAAAAATGTGAAAATGTATTCAAATTCTCTTACCTGGAATGTTTGGTTTTTAACATGTGAAGGATATAAAAAAAACATGTTCTGTGTTGGAATCCAAATATTTCTTTTGCAAGTTTTTCTTCTGACAAATTAAGGTTATCGCTTTGTTAACTAGATTGAGAGGTTTAAGCAAAAACTGTGGAAGGCCAATCAAAGTATGGGTTGTATTCATAGAGCCATGGAAATTTGAATGTTCCAGCTGGAATTCAGAAGAGGAGATGTTTGCTCAGATACTGTATATACAAATCGCATCATTCCATTGCACAGATAATTATTACTTGGACACAAACCAAGTGGTGATATCATAATCACTACTTTAGTATGTCGGAAACATGTTTTATTAAGTGGGTGGGGAAATCATTTTCTCTTGCAACCTGTCACTCTGCATTTTTCATCCTTTTTTCCTCTGACTGTATCGTATTTGGCAACTGTGGTCATCCTTAGGAGGTGTAGAATTACTCCAGGATCATCATAAAAGAGGCTCTACTTGCCTTAGGGATCTTTTCTCTGCCTTTTGTGTTATTTTCATACTTCTGTGTATGTGCCATGAAGACCACTTTTTAGTATTATGATACACAGTTTAGGAATTGGAGTGAAGGAGAAATCCTCAAGTTTAACACATAAACAATAACCGTTTGCTTGGGAAAATGGGAATTATTTTATGTTTCTGAAGGGAGATTTTATTTCTGTTTAGCTTCTCATTTGGTTTCCCTCTTCCCTCACTTTCTTTGTTAAAACCCAGACCTGAAGCAGCTGTTTGAAATTGTTCAATGGTTTGGAATGTTTCAAGTAATTCAACAGAAGGTATTTAATGAGTATATGCCCATTTTAAAAAAGCATAGGAGAATTTGGATTTATCACAGTCTTACTCCAACCGGTCATATTCATATATGACTCACTTGTTCACTGAGAGAACTATTTACTAACTATACGCGAAGTGGCACATGGACCCAGGTCATCTGGCATTGCCAGTTCCTCTTCCGGGTTTCTGGTGCACATGCGCATGCNAGTTGGAAGAACTGCTTTGTGCATGGAATAGAAGGTTATTGTGATTTTGGTTTCTTCTTGTTCATCACTCTCTGTTTATGTATATCTGTGTTGTGTCTGTCTCTCTTGAAAGCCCAGTGGGAAAGGGAAACGTCTTCCAGAAGTTTACTGCATTGTGAGCCGCTTGGGTTGTTTCAACCTCTTCTCAAAGGTGAGAGGGACAAGGAGCATGCAAACCGCCCCCAAAGCGAGTAGGGACAGAGGAAGAGAGAGATCCTTCTCTGGCCATATCCGGTCCATTGGAAGTGCAACTCAAACCAAGGGGATGAACATTTGGTCCTGACTGATCATTCCGTACATTTGTTTGCTGTTGTCAGATAAGAATCTCACCCAAGTGCTTTTTAAAAAGGGCCAGTTGTTTCTGCTTTGGAGTATGTTAAATGCATTTTTCTCCTTTTGCCACTGAGAGTAGATACTGAAAGAGAGGCCCTTTCCACCAGTAACTTCTTTCATTAAAGTGGGATTCTGATGCTTGACTGTTTTGTGTGGCATCAAACAAGGATATGACAACAATAAAAAGCTAGCAAGAGGAGAAAAATCAGTAGATTCCTGAAGCAAAATGCATAATGTTCTCCTTTCTATTTTTTCTTTCTCTGTTGTTCAGATCTTGGATGAGGTTGAGAAAAGACGTGGCATTTCTCCTGCCTTGGTCCAGCCGCTCATGAGGAGTGTCATGGAAGCCCCTTTTCCAGCCCTGGGTCGGACTATCTCCATCAAGAACTTCCTGCCTGGTTCTGGAACAGAAGTAATGCTGGCTGGAGAATTCTGGGAGTTGAAGTCCGCTAAGGGCAAAAAGCTACCTATCTAGATTAGAACCACCCTTCAAAAGTAGATGAAGTAGCTAAGCTTGCAAGNCTATTGCTACTACAAGGAATCTTGATTGCTTCTTTCATTTTTTTCTTCTAGTACCTTGTCCAAATGCTGCCATGCCACAGTGGCCCTTCTCTACCCCTTTGCCTGGCAGCACACTTACATCCCGGTACTTCCCCCTTCAATGATTGACATTGTCTGCTCGCCAACCCCCTTTCTGATTGGCCTGCTCTCCAGTTCCTTGCCCCGCCTCAAGGAGCTGCCAGTGGAAGAGGTGAGATCAGAAGAGCTGGAGGTTGTGTTAAACCCCAATTTGGTTTTTAAGCTCCATGTGGGAAGTCAGATATGGGACATTTCAGTATCTTACTAGCCACATACTTTAATGATTTGCAGGGTGCATGTTTTCGGCTGGAAACATTATTGTGGCTCAGAGGGAGACCTTTTTAAAACAACTCTTTTCAAACTTGACATTGTTAAGATGTGACCTCAACTCCCCAAATTCCCAGTATGCCGGCTGGGGAATTCTGGAGTTGAAATCTGCACATCTTAATGTTGCCAAGTTTGAAAAACACTGATTTAAAACATGTATTAAAATTGCCTGCAAAAGTCAATAGACGGCAGTAGTTGAGCTACAGGAAACTGGGATACACTCTGTAGAAATTATTTCTTTGAGAAGTTACCCTAATGCCTGCCTTCTCATATTTTTCCAGCCCTTTTAGTCTTTTTTTTTTAAAAAAAAATCTGAGGTGTTTTAAAGGTTATCCGAAGCTTTTTTTAAAGCCCATATTTATACTTGCTTTATCTTCCTGTTCCAGGGTGCGATGTAGATTTTTTTCAATGTTGTTTTGCAAATGTTTATGTGAGATACCTTCGGGGGAGGGGGGATTGCTTTGAGATGCAGCAGATCCATTTTTAAAACAAATAACCAAATTAAACACACATTGACAATCCTATGCTTCCATCATTTAAATGCAAGCAGCTATCTCTCATTTTAATTCAGCCCATTGCTGCTGTCTGTTATGTGGCAGCTCAGGCAGGAAATATTCCTGAGAGAAAGCTAGCTAGTGCTCTCCATTTCCCTCCCTCTTTCTCTCTCTTCCTCTCTTCCTCACTCTCTCCCACCCTCTCTCAGAGAGAGGGAAGGAGGGAGGGAGGGAGAGAAAGAAAGAAGTGAAGAACAGCTTCCATGTGTTTCAGTTGTCAGCCTGTGGTTTTGTGGTTAAATTCATAAAACCACCCTATGATCAGACTGGCTTTCATATCTTTTTGTGGCTCATGGGATTAAATTGATGAGATGCAGCCTTTTCTCCTGAAAGCTGCAGAGCAGGCAATCCTTTCCTCAAGGACATCAGTCTACCTCTTCCCTCTATCCATGGATCAAACCCTGAAGGTGTCCTTTAACTGGTGCACTGGGAACGTCTCTCCCAAAGGCGTGGAGCCAGGACAAAAATGTAAATTCAATTCTCCTCCTATTTACTTGGAAGAAACTTAGCTATACTTAAGGGAATTCTTCAAGAACTTCCTTTTGTCATACCAAAATTACACCTTGCTTAACAATTTTTGAGGCATTTTGAGTCCTGTATGCAAGACATTTGGAGAACTCTTCTGCTCTAATGTTCTCTCCCTCTCTCTCTTTTTATGTGTATTTATTGGTGGCCAGGTCCTTGTGGTTGACCTTGTTAATAACCGGTTCCTTAGACAGGTAAGCATAACTTATTTGTTCAGTCTTTCCTTTTTCTTTTTAATTTGTTTGGGGAGAAGGGAAGGGTGGGGAAATCTTTTGCTTAAAATCATCTGATACAGAATATAGAATATAGGGCCGCGGTGGCTCAGTGGCTAAGATGCTGAACTTGTCGATCAGAAAGGTCGGCGATTTGAATCCCTAGCGCCGCATAACAGAGTGAGCTCCCGTTACTTGTCCCAGCTTCTACCAACCTAGCAGTTCAAAAGCATGTAAAAAATTAAAGTAGAAAAAAATAGGAACCACATTTGGTGGGAAGGTAACAGCGTTCCATGTGCCTTTGGCGTTTAGTCATTCCGGCCACATGATCACGGAGACATCTTCGGACAGTGCTGTTTCTTCGCCTTTGAAATGGAGATGAGCACCACCCCCTAGAGTCAGGAACGACTAGCACATATGTGTGAGGGGAACCTTTACCTTACTGAATATAGCCGATCACTTTCTTAATTCCTGCAAATTCGAAAGAGAGTCATGGGAAATCTAGACTAGAAACAGATAGCCATTCAAAGCTGAGAATTTAGCTTTTGAGGTGGCATTGCTTTTCCCAGTTTGCATGCACATTTTTCTCATCCTGACGTCTCCTCTGATCAGCAGTTTCAGAAGCATCAAACCATCTTAAAGCCTGCCAGAGTTACTGGCTGCCAGTGAA